TTAGGACTTACAAATTAAATTGATTTTAAAACTTCAGACTTAGGTTCTGAAGCTGGGGCACTTAACAAACCGAATTTAGACCTTTCTAAACGACCACAAATAGTCAGCCAACAAAGGACAGAGCAGCAAGTGCAATTGTGTAGCAGAGGAGAGAGGAGAGGTCCAAGGCTCAACTTGAATGTCTACACATTGTAGCAAAGATTTCTAATGGTCCAGAAGAACAGAAGGACACATCTCAAGGTTTACAAGTCCCAAAATGTCACAATTAAGACAGACAGTTGTGAAAAATTCACAGTTTGACTTAATATCTTTGAAACATCTGTGTTTAAGTATTTCAGAGAAGATAGAAACAGATTTCTCTCCACACCTCCCACTTTGAGATTAACAAGCTAACAGAAAAGCTGTTTCCTTTACACTCTCTAAGGTTCATAGTTCCTAGCAGCAAGTCTGTTTCTTTTCCACGAAACATCTCACAAACCCTCACCAAAAAATGTGGGGGCAGAATTGGAAGCTGAAATTGAGCACATACTAAATCATATAGAAATGTATTTTTTCTTCAGAGAACTACTGTACACTGTATAGAACAGCTCTTCAGGAAGGAGAAAACAGGGGGGAAAAAAGCAGAATTTGGGACAAGGCCCCAAAGAATGAAAATCTAAGAGTGTCAAAATCCATGCATGAATAATGCCAGCACCTCCAAATTCTTTGTTCAGTCTTTCTTTCTCACGTTGACTCAAAAGATGGGGGGGACAATGGCAAGGAACATACACAAACCATACTCTATTACCTTTAATTATTGTACTCCTATGTTATCAGTCTTCTATCACTTGCTCTTCAATATAATCTTGAAGAGAAGTTCCTGCTTCTGCCTGACCTCTCAGCAATAGATTAAATAAAAATCCCTATTATCTAATAATGGTGCTAGACACTCCAGCTCCTTCAAACATAGTGAATATTACACTCAAAATATCACAGTCATAGACAATTATCCTTTTAAAAGCTGGAGCAACAGATTCTTTATTATCTTAGTGAGAGGTCATAAAATATAAAAAAAAGGTTGTTCAGCTTACTGGTCTTTCATATTAGTTACAAGGGCTATGATCTGCCAGGTTCCTCAAGCCATATTCCATGATTGTAGACAAGCTCAAGTGTTTTTGCCCTGTTAATACATTGTATTCAAACGAATACACAACGCATTGTATTCAAAAGAATAGTTTTCTTGATTCCCTGTCATCATCAGCACAATCAACCTCTCCTGAAATATATTTTTTTCAAGAGGTAAGATATGCTGATGCAATTATATTATTAGAAGTAAATGAAACTCTACAACTTCATGGTCAGTGGCTAAGGAGTGGAAGAAGAAACAATTTAAACAGGCATAGCAAGTTGCCTACAATCTTGGCATCTACAAGAAACCAGAAGAGTATTAAAAGTGCAAACGCAGAAGGATCGAGAACAGCATAATCTAAAAAGAATATAACTGGACAGCAAGGAAAAACAGCCTTCCAAGTAGATTCCCCAAGTAATTTCTCTTTTAATAGAGTGCCTATCAAGCATTTGCAAGCAGTGGTCTTGAGGAATCTGTTTCAGTAGTTGGGCACATGTATTTGGTCTCTATACTTCATACTACCACAGATAATACCACAGTTGGGGATAGGCCATGACACAGAAGACAGAGATACACTGTACTGAGGAGACTTTTCAGTCAAAAAGGGGGAAAGGTCAATATAAATGACTGAAGTGCTTACAAAGTGGAGGATGCTGAAAGAGGAGCCTTGCAATGTTTAAAAAGTTCTCATTTATCACTGAAGTTTTAACAAAAACTCTATTTGGCCTTGAGGGTTGGAAAAGAAAGAAAGCAGGCAAGATGCAGTTTGGTGGAGGCAACACATACTAAAATAAGTGATATTTATCATAATGAAAGAAAGTTCATGACATCTCCACATCAACTTACTACTTAGAACCACTTAGCAGCAACCTCTTTGAGGAATCCTCCTGTTTACATGGCAGTGCTAAGCAATCTTTTCAGTATCATATGATAATTCTATGCTAGAAAAAACTTCTCAGGTTACACATCAAAAGCCTGTAGCGATCACAATGATTTCATATACATTAAAATGTAACTGGCACAGCCATGTCTGACAGCTCTCCACATTTTATGAAGTGCCTCAGCTATGTATCTAAGTTGAGAGTGCTCCTGACAAAACAAACACACACAAAAACACCCCAAACCCAGCACCAAAAACCCATGTGTTCATATGTAAACCAGTCTTAACTTTTAAACAGAAAAAATTTGTCAATCTCTGTTAGATATGTTGAAACAACTTTAGTATTATTGCAGGTTTACCTCACAGCCACACTTTTCTAAAGTACCTTGCCTGAACTGCATCTTGGATAACAATCCCATAGTGCATAGGATAGTCTCAGAGGAGTTTTGTGGAAGATTTTTGGTGGAGCAACATATCTACAATTGCAGTAAGTTGCAAACACTGCTAGAGTGCAAATATAGTTTTGAGAGGTCAGTACTCAGCCTTCAGTCCTTCGTTCAGTTTTGCTCAAGTTGCCACTACTGTGGCTGTCTCAAAATAACACCACGGTCACCTGCTAAAGTGATAGGAAGTCAAAACTCACCCAGGTGTTTAAAATGCTGAACAAAAATTATTTAGGAAGCCATTTGATGACACTGTCAGAGAGGTGAAAAATAAACAAGAAGCTAGCTAAAGCTACCTAGAGCTAAAGCCTAATAACAAAAATGGGTATTGGCAAAATATTAAAAAATAAACCAACACTCAGAGGTGGACAGCTTGCTCCAGCTTAAACACAGTGGAAGAGAAATCACAGGCATGCAGGGTAAAAAGCCTAAGTGATATGCTCCTTAATTAAAATAATGAGTTGGCAGAGGGAGGAACACTTTCTTCTCACCCTATATCCATCTGAGCAAACATTCATTTTAGGCCGAACAAGTTCTCAGACTTGCAGAAAGCCTTATCTATTCAAAACACAGACAAACCAGTTTAAGTACTTCTGTATGAATGTTAAGCAAGCAACCTGGGAGGCAAAACCAGTTCTAAAGAGCAACCAGCTTCTCTGGCATAATGGGAAATTACTAGCCTTCCCAGATGTGCATAAACTATTATTAAGACAGCTCTACCCTCCTATCTAAATGAACGGTTTCCCAAGAATCATTATGGGACTTGAGAGAAAGCCAAGCAAAAGAACCACCTTCCTTATACATAGTTTCATTGAGGAACAAAAAACTTCGCTGCCTCTTCTGCAAGTTTCATGTGTGTTGGAATAAAGTCAAGCCACCTTTCTTTGTTTTTTTTACTAAGTGTGTTTCAAAGCCACATAAATGACAAAACTGTAAAATAACCTGTAACTTCATAAATTCATCTCAGAATAAAGGTGACCCATTCAAATGGTATTTAAGATGATTTACTATTTCTGCTAACCAAAAGAGATGCAGCTAGTCTCCTCATTAGCTCAATATTTGAGAAGTGTAAAGGGACCTGTGTGACCATTTCTACAGACAGGACCAGGCTGCATGGGGTAGGTGCAGCTTCAGGGTTGCAGATTATAAAGACTGAGCCTCTCACTCAACTTTTCTTTGCCAGTACTAACACACACTGACTTTCTCATATTGGGACTTTTTATTCCCCACACCTGAAAGAGAAAGCATGGAAAGCCAAAAGCAAGATAAGTGGACAACGCTTGTCCATAACAAAGATGGAAAAATTGGCAGGAATGTGAAGGAAAGTGAAACTGGGTAACTTATTCCAGATCTATAAGAAGCACTTCCCTGAAAACCTCTTCCCCAAAACTGTCACCTTCTACACTTTGCAGGCCACTTACTCACCTTTAACAAGAAATTCATTTCCCTTGCTCATCCTTTTTTATTTTCTCTGAGAAATCTCACCTGTTATTCTTCAGGAACTTATGCATCAGTATCAGAGCTTCAGTCAGCTCTGGCTTCTCACAGAAAAAATGTCTGAAAATTTCTGTTTCTATTCAGCAATCAGTTGTATTGCAGAGTTTCATATTCTAGGTATTTACTTAGCAATTTTGAGTGTAGAGGGGAAAAATCCAAACCAGCCTCAAACCAAAATCCAGTGGTTTCAAACAACTGACCAATAACTCAGCTGCTACAGAAATGCAAATTCTATGTCTGTGCTACAGTCACCGCTCAGACTACAGGTAGCTGCAAACCCAGTTTAATGTCCACTACATTTTGGCTGCTCTTTGAGTGACAGCATAACCTAAAGACATTTATGGGAAAAAATGCAAACATTAAAGTAGTATAAAGTAATTTTTATCATAAGATCACAGAATCATACAAGAGTTTGGCCTGGAAAAGAACCTTGAAAATCATCTGGTTCCAACCCCCCCCGATATGAGCAGGGACACCTTCAGCTAGATCAGGTTGCTCAGAGGCTCATCCAACCTGGCCTTGAACGCCTCCAGGAATAAATATATCACCTCTTAGGTTGATACTGCAAAATCCTCGACCTCATCGGTGAATACTGTCTCTAGAGACTCAAGCACTGCTTAAAAAACAGAGAAAAATAAACAGGCGGAAATGCAAGTTTCCGGTCAGAAAGGCGGCCTTGCTGGTCAGAGAGCAACGGCCAGGTACGAACAGCGGGGTACTGACATGCCGACGGCACAGGAGGGACAAGGACCAGAGCCACGGCCTGCAGCTCGGCAGCCCAGCCCGGGCGCACCTGGGGGCGCTCCCGCGCCGGCCCCCCGGGCCTTTGTTCCCCCGCTGCAGGGGCAGCGTTGAGGCGGAGCACGGCCCTGCCCATGCACCCCCGAAGCGCCAAGATGAGACATAAACAAAACAAGGCCGGGCCGCCGGGGCTCCGCCGACCTCGGCCCGGCCGCGGTGCGGGCCGCGGGGCCTCTATCACCGGAGCTGAGCCGCGGCGGGGCGGGAGGCGCCCGGCGCCGCGGCTCTGAGGCGGGGCCCAGCTCAGAGCGGGCGGGCAGCGCGCACTCACCCAGGTGAGCAGGCTCTCGCCGAGCTCGGCGCGCTCCAGGCTCTCCACGTTGAACATGGCGGGACTGCGGTGCCGCGGCCGGCTCGCTACCGGCGGCGTCGGGGGGACGGGGCGGGGCCGCGAGGCCGGCGGCGAGCGGCGGCTGAGGTACCGCAGGGGTACGGGCGGGGCTGCAGCGGACCTGGCTGGGCTGTCCGCCCCTCACAGCCGGCCCGGGGGGACTGGGGAGGGTCAGGGAGACGCGAAGCCCTCCGCTGCATGCCCGCCGAGGCACCTCGTACGCCGCCGGGGCCGCGGGTAGGAGGGGTGTGCAGCGCTGCCGTCGGCTCCGTGTGTGTGTCTCGGCGCGGAGGAACTCGTCAGGAGAGTGTCCGGCGGGGCTGGGAGCGTGGGTTCGTGAGGATGGTGTACCACAGGCGTTATCAGTGTTGGTGTGTAATGCGTGGAGTGGCCCCTACAAGGTTTTTCTCTGTTTTTGGAGTAGAAAAATGACCTTTCACCCGCAGACTTCCTTCTGTTTGTGAAAGGAGCAGCCCCTGCAAAGTTTTCCTGCTTTTGCAGTGGGAAATGACCCTGCACCCACAGACATATCATAGTCTTAGTATATAGTGTGGCTTGGCTTGTGTATGGAGCAGCCTTGACGACGTTCTCCTCTGTTTTTGGAGAAGACAACGACGTTAGCTTCCTTTCAACAAAGCTCTGCTGTAGTAAATTTAATGAGCAAGCAACCTACCAGTATCTGAAGGTGGTCTGTAGGGAAGTCAGAGAGAGACTCTTTGTTAGGAACTGTAGTGACAAGGAGTAATGGGTTTAAGCTTGAAGAAGAGAAATTTAAGCTAGGTAGCGGGAAGGAATTTTTTACTGTCAGGGGTGTTGAGATGCTGGAACAAGTTGTCCAAGGAGGTTGTGGATGCCCCAACCTGGCACTGTTCAAAACCAGTTTGAATAAGACTTGAGCAACGTAGTCTAGTGCGAGGTGTCCCTGTTTGTGGCATGGGGATGTTGGGACTGGATGATCTTTAAGGTTCTTTCTCTTAACATTTTATGATTCTGTAAGTTACTTGCTTAGAATTAGTAGCAAGTGGTGACTAGGAAGAAGGATAATCAGATATTGAAGTGGGCTGCCCAGGGAGGTGGTGGAGTCACCATCCCAATGGCTGTTCAGAGAAAGACTGGACATGACACTTGGTGTCATGGTGTGGTTGACAGGGAGGTGTTCAGTCTTAGATTGGATGTGATGATCTCAGTGGTTTTTCCAGTCTAGTTGGTTCTGTGTGATTCTGCAGGTGATTCAATTAATTTTTTATCTCAAAAACAAGGAGTCTGTCTGTGGCCAGAGTACCCCTGCATCCTTGCTGTGCCCCAGCCAAAGGAGCTCTCCATCATGCTGCAAATGGGTCACCTGAGGAGTTCAAGCAACTCTTTCTCAGTAGTGTGTTGTGTTGGATTTTGGACTATTTGAAGTTTGCAGTGAAAGTGTGTGGCATCGTGATAAGTTCTGCAGTTCCATATCAGTTAACAACGGGCCTGACATGCAACGACAGGGAGTAGCAGGCACAAATAGTGCCTGCTACTCCCTGTTGTTGATAATAGTGGAGGGTTGTATAAACAGAAGGGGTCACAGATGCAGAAACTCTCACTATTTTCCCTGTTTTCTCAGACTTTTTCCATTTAATGAATTTGTAACATGGACGAAAGCTGAGTGCTGCCTTTATGTGAGCTTCTTTTGAACTGAAGAGTATTGTAGGAGCAAGGAAAATTTTCAGGTTTTCCCAGGAAAGTACTTTCTTACTGTTCTCATTGTATAATCTGCTGTATAAGTTATAAATCAAATCTGTCGTCATTTAAAGGTAATTTTCGGTTTCAGAATGAATTTAAAGTCTTAGAAAACTGCACAACTACCAACTTTCCATTCCAAGTTTTAATGTGTGCTTTAAGCAGCGTGCTTGGTACTTTTGACAAACAATGCTTTCACAGGTACATCACATGGTTTAAGGTTTTCTATCATATCTTCCTCTGTGTCTCATTTCCCACTCTGCATTGCCTGTTGCCACGAGGTGTATCTTGTATTTTGTTGACACAAGCAAATACAGTATTGCTTTTTTGCCTTGCTATCTATTTTAGACATGAGGTTGTATATGGAGGTAGCACTTTCTACAGTAAGGAATTCTTGGGCACTTTTCCTAAGAGAGAGCTGAAGCCTCCTCATGCTTAGCTGCAGTACTACCATATTCCAGTAAACATTATTATAATGAAGTGACAATATTTTCTTTCTCTTCCTGTCTGACCAGAAAAGTCAGGTATCCAAGCTGAAGGCATTAGCAGGCTCTTTCTCATGCTCATGTCTATATATGAATTCAGTTCCACCCTCTGGTTTGTTTAGAACTCTATACCTTTCAGTATGCTTTTGCCTTACAAAGTGGTGGAAAACTTTGTTGGGAATTGTTTTACACAAGTCATACATCACCCAGGCAGATATTCAGAATAGTGATTCTAAACAAGCCATAGTATTTGTCTTTTTGCTTCAAGCCATCCATGTGGCTTTGGACTCAGGAGAAAAATTATTGGAGATATTTTGTTTCCCCAGTAGAAAGGTATGTTAATTTTGGGTTATTTTCCCTCACAGCCTTGCACCTGTTGTTTGCAGCTGCATTATTTTTAATTTGCAAAGCATGATTCCATCAGCAAAAGTAGAATATCTACTTTCTTTTTTCTTCTTTTTTTTTTACCTCTTTAGGAAAAAAATGTGCCTCAGAGACTGCTGACCTCAGACCCTGCAGAAACCTGCTGTATCAGGCAAGTGCCTCAGTTGGTCAGTTCATAACATATACTCAACAAAATCATTGCTTGCCTACTGAAGTTGCCCGCTTCTCTCTCTTGGCAAGGCTGTTCAGGCCTTTTTCATTCTCTTTTGCAAAACGTATGCATACACTTGAATGTAGTCAGCACAGTCCTGAAAGCAAAGGTGGTTCATGATAAGCATATAACTGAATATTATACAGCTGAGCTTGGCTGTATTTCTTGTACCAGCTGAACTGATTTGTAAACCCAAAGTTGATGCAAACTCATAATAATGGTGCATTAACAGACTGCATAGAATTCTAATAGGATAATCCCAAGTCAGTTTTAACAGCCTTCTCCCAGAATATATCTCATCAATTTATATGTTGCTGTATTAGATTTTTTTTAAATTTCAATTAGTAAATGTGCCTTTTGGATTTTCTCCCACTGATTTTTATAATGTAGGGAGATACTTCATACTAGAGGTTGTTGTTGGTGCTTTATTCAAGTAAGACTGTGCTCACAAAAATGAAATGCTAACAAATCCTCTTTCCTCAGAAGCACTTTTTCTAAGTACATCATCAATCATTTCCATTATTTCTGTTCTATAAAGTTATATTTGCCTACACCGCTTCTTCAAAATGTGTCTTTAGTACACTAAAGAACCTGGATAAAATCTATCACCTCAGGATTTAGCAGATTTAGGATTTAGACTGGTAAACTCTTAGAGTTCCACTGTTCATGATGTGTAGTTCATGCCTGCTGTTGTTAATTGTTTCTGAATGCAGTCTGGGCATATCTTTGGACTCTTAAAGAAAGAGTGCATAAATAACTGTAGGATCCAGTTTGCTCAGTCAAGTCCATTCACAAAGTCCCATTGTCAACAACAGAGAAGGGCCATGACCTGCTACTACACTGGAGCAGGAAGTAATTAGATAGCTTCTGATGAGACAGGTCTCAATTTTTGCCCTGCTTATAAGAGTTTGTCTTTATTTTGGGAATTTTTGCCTGTTTTTCTTTTAAATAAAATATGATAAATTTATGCCTATAGATATTTCAACATAAGCTAATATATGTTCAGGGGGTAGATTGCAGAATAAGTATGCTCTATTTTAGTATGCTTAAATTCTTAAAAGTTGGTTTATGTTGTCTAAAACAGACCAATCTTACTAGAAACTTTTTGATACAAATGAAACTAATTTGTTGTTTGTTTCTCTTATGCAGAAGAAAATTTTGAGGGGTTAAAGCCTTTTTGTTCTTAAGAAAGTGTGACTTGTGGTATTTGACTAGTTGGAGATTAATTAGCTTATCCTCGAAAACACACAACCTCTACAAATTGAAAAGAAGCTTTTTCAAAGGGTGGGGGCTATGCTTTTGCTAATGAATGGCAACTGGCAAAAGGAGTTGCAGGTTCTGGCTTGCATGCTGGCCCACCATCACTTTATAATTAACTTAAAATTTTTTAAGAACTGATGGTGGCTGCCAGTACTGCATCAAGAGGAAAACACTCAGAATAAAATTGAAATAAATGAAAACTCAAAACTCCATTTTTCTCATCCAGTTCACTCCCAGCCCATCCCATAAAGGACACATTGTTGTCCAAATTACCTTTCAGATGTTGAGCAAATTGTGCCAGGCTCACAAGGTCAATACAGTAAGGTTAATAACTTGTATCTCATCAGTATGGCTTGTGTGTTACCTCATTTTTTACTTCTCGACATCAAGAGAGCCTCTTATTTCTTTCTCACTGTGCTTGCGCATTCCTTTGGTAGTGGGTCCAAAAAAAATCTCTGTGGTTTTAAGAGTATGTTATCATATGGCACTTCCCTGATAAACTCAGGAAAGTTCAAATACTTCAGAAAACTATGGGAAGAATTCTGACTTTGCATAGGTAACAGCTGTTTAACTTATCATGGTAAAGACTGGATTGTTTTTCGTGTCTTTATTATTCATGGCATAGGGTATTGTTGTAACTGTGCTTTATGTTGAACATTGAAAGTTCTAATAATACTTTTCAGATCTGAAAAATTAAGAAATAATATATCCACACTAGTGTATGTCTTCATTCCCTCACACTTTGATGTGATCTGTATGAATTTCCGAGAATAAAAACCATTGCACTTGCAGTATTGCTCATTATAGTTCTCTTTTTTTTTTTTTGCTTAAATTTGCATGCATTGTTATACATAACCACAGAGGGGAAAATGCAACTTTAAAAAGGTCTGTAGATTCTTATTTGAAATGTAAAAAAAATTAGTGTTGCCTTCTGTCGGTGATCACTGAGAAAAACTGGTAATAAACAAGGCGGTTTTCTGTACAGATGATTAATTACTGACAGATTTACAAATAAAACTGTACGATTTTACAAACAGTAAATTGCATTCCTTTCTATTGCAAAACTTTTAGTGGATAATTTACTCTGAGGTTGTCTATAATCTCTAGCCATCAAGAACCCTCATGGAAATGAACTGGATCCCTGTCTACTGGGATGCAGTGTCAAGCTGTAACTTAACTAGCCCAAATGGAATGGAAGAGTAACTCCTTGTCTTTTTCCTCTTTTCTGTGTTGTTTTACTTGGAGCAAGTACCAGTAGTCTGAAGACGAAATAAACCTGGAATTTAAGATTTGGGCTTTGGTGGTGTTGTTTTTGAAGCAGGAAAAAGGCCCAGCATTTTTGTCAGTTTTTAAAAGTTTGTGATTGATATTTTTAAAATTCTGAAGTTAGTTGTATAAATTCCAGTTTTGATGTGAGTATTATTAGATGTTGCTTGGTTTTCATCCTCTCATAGGGTGGAGTTAGGCTTGCATTTAAGAAAGCCATCCTTGTGAAATGGCTAAAAAGAGAAAAAGTCTTAAGTATAACCAGAAATAATTTATCAGAATTTAATCTATTTTCAATTACTGCCTTTTTTTTCTCCCTGAAGTAATCTTATACAGATGGTACTTTTTCAGAGCTAGAGTAGACAGGAATTAATTTATTGTATTAAAGAATAGAAACAGAGCAATGAAAAACATTCAAACATTCTTTGCAATTTTAGAAAGAAACAAGATAACATAAGCCTACAAGAAAGAAAGAAAGAAAGAAAGAAAGAAAGAAAGAAAGAAAGAAAGAAAGAAAGAAAGAAAGAAAGAAAGAAAGAAAGAAAGAAAGAAAGAAAGAAAGAAAGAAAGAAAGAAAGAAAGAAAGAAAGAAAGAAAGAAAGAAAGAAAGAAAGAAAGAAAGAAAGAAAGAAAGAAAGAAAGAAAGAAAGAAAGAAAGAAAGAAAGAAAGAAAGAAAGAAAGAAAGAAAGAAAGAAAGAAAGAAAGAAAGAAAGAAAGAAAGAAAGAAAGAAAGAAAGAAAGAAAGAAAGAAAGAAAGAAAGAAAGAAAGAAAGAAAGAAAGAAAGAAAGAAAGAAAGAAAGAAAGAAAGAAAGAAAGAAAGAAAGAAAGAAAGAAAGAAAGAAAGAAAGAAAGAAAGAAAGAAAGAAAGAAAGAAAGAAAGAAAGAAAGAAAGAAAGAAAGAAAGAAAGAAAGAAAGAAAGAAAGAAAGAAAGAAAGAAAGAAAGAAAGAAAGAAAATTAGTCTGAAAAGCCTGTGATGTAGAATCCAGATCTGAAAATAATTATATGAGAAAAAGGTTGATGAAATGCTATAATTTTTTTCATAACTGGAAAAATGTAATAGATCAGTGGATGGAATTTAGTATGAGCCACACTAGCTCACTCTTGAAGTGCATCAAATTATTAACAGTGACTATTTTAGGAGTGATTAGATATATGTAATAAAGTCTGGTTCTGGAAGGTTTCTCTGACACACGCTTGGTCTTTATCAAGGCTGGCTGTCTCCGAAGACTGATTCTTCATTACATAATTTAAACCTCCTATAGCTTGGTTCTTAGTTGCACCAGCTGAAAGAGTAACAATTGCTGAACACATGCACTGTGAGGCGAGATTTCTTAGTAGCTATTTTTAGTTATCTAGCCTATCATACATTCAAACCACTGCAGATCGCTCTTTGGCTGTTGTCGTTGCACTTGAAGAAACATGAACTGCAAGCCTCCAGTTCTGGGTATTTTGTTTGAAAACATTCAAGATAGCCTTGAAATCACAAAATTCCTCCTTCAGTCAGACATTTTTTCTATTAGTGTATTCTAGCATTTTCTTTTTTCTTAGACATTGCTTTTTTAAACATGCTATCTTAGAGACAGAAGGAGGAGGAGGAGACTGTTACTGTCTTTACTGAGGCATGAATTCAGAGAAAGTATGTATTGGTTCTTTTGAAGTGATACCCTTCTGTTTTGTACTACCTAGTCTAGACAAGTCTTGTCAGCTCTCCTGTGCAATGATCTTATTGAGAGAAAGTGTTGGAAGTAATAAGAAAAATATACACAGTGCTTGTTGGCTGTCCAGAAACAGGAAGTAAATTAAAATATGAACAACATGGGCATTAAACATTGATATTTTGCCTTCTCAAGAATTCAGTGATAGAAGCAGTGGAATGAGACTGAGGCAGATTCCACTCCCCCTCTATATAGTCTTTGCAGTATTGACACATAAGTGAAGACAAAGTGTCTCAGGGTGTTTATGCGGAGAGAAAGACTGTGCAATAATTTTTCTTGTACACTATGCTTATGTCAAAAAGGTTATTGGGAAAGTCATATAGGTTTCCAAATGAAGGGCTGAAGTAGATATAAATAACTGGCATTATGTGCAAGAAGGAAGAGAAAATGAGGATCTTGAATGTGTATTTCATTTTCATATTCTGATGCTAACTTTGGTACCTTAGTTTGGTATTTCGAGAAAGGTGGGTGAGCAGAAATTAAGGTAAGCAGATGCAGTGAGTGCTATTAATGCTAGGCAGATCAGAATTTGGAGTGTTGTTGCAAGGAACATGCAGAAAGGGAAGAGCTGGAGTACATGTCTTGAAGGCTGTTGAGGGAAAGTGATTTAAATTGGTGTGATATTGATAGTCCATGTGTTGTTTTCAAAGTGCATCAAGCAAGCAGTGACAGAGGAAGTTCAGGTGTTAGTGTAAGAAGCGCTTGCCTTCCAAAGGTACAGTTAAATCATCTGTATTTCTCTGACACAATAGGTATTTCTGAAAAAAACCCAAAACCAAAACCCCATGTAATACTTAATGGGATATAGTTGTCCTTGGCATGTTGGTGTATTCTAACAGAACTGATGTGGAACAAGGAAGGAATTATACCAATTCCTTGACATTTACTTCTGATTTTGTTCTGAGTTGTCAACCCAGAAAAAACGGTGGGACAGAGTGAAAATTAGTTGACTGATAATGATACTTAAGGAGGAAAAACATAGAAGTTAAAGATATCAGCATGCAGAGTGGTGGAAAATGACTGTCTCAGAATGATGCAGTGTAAGAAAGAGAAGCTTCTTCAGGACAGGATATGCAAAGAACATAAATATACAGGCAAGTAATGTTGAGCTAGGGAGGCATCACAGCACACCTGCCAGTCCAGGTCCGCAGCACCAGTTAACGACTGCTCAGAAAAATTTCACAACATCTTAACCTCATGGCTTCAGCTATAGGAATGTAATTGTGTAACTAGCTATGCAGAGAAATGCTCTAACTCCTTGTGTAGGCCCATGTTCCTATGTAAGACCTTTCCACAAAGATCTGGTCTTTTATTCATTTGTATATATGAACCATGTGTAAATATTGACCTACTTTAAACATGCCTTTCTATGAGTCACTGGTGTTCCACCTTTGAAAGAAGTTACTCTTTCCAAATACTGTGTCACAGTTGCTTGTTGAAAGCTATAATTAGCAAAAAATCGACTATAGTTACAGAAATAATAGTCTCAGTTCAGATTGGCATACTTAGGATAACTTATTGTTTCACTTCATACATGCTTCATTATTCCATTTTAGTTTTCACAGTTAAAGCCCAAAAAAGCGACAAATAATGAGATCTCCCCTTGTTCTCTATGAGTTTGCTCTGCTCTTATGGTACTTAACTTATACCACTTACACTTCTTAACAATACTCTTAGAATGTATCAACTTCTCTTGTATTCCTGCTACAGAAGGCAGCTCCCACAAATGTAAAGAAGCTTGAAAAAAGCTCCACTGCTTATACTAGAAAAAATGTGGAGGGTGAGAGTATCTGTCTTAGGGGAAAGATTATGCTTTTTTATTAGCAATAGACTGACATGCTGCAATTTTGCCAGGGTAGTCATTACAGGTATCCACTAAAATCCTGATTACTTGTACTCCATTTCAGTTTTGCAATTAATTCAGGGCCAGAGGGTGTTTGGTAATATTTTCTAGACAGCGAGATTTAAATTAAAAGTGACACATGAGCTGTGAAGTGTAGTGAAACACTGATGAAAGCTTTCAAGCTGGACTAGGAAACAGAGAAAAAGATACCAGTCTCACCTGCCTTCAGAAACCAATACTGGGATTTTATGTCAGCTTCATGGAAAATACTTCAATTGTGTATGGACAGAGCTGCAGTGTCACTTTTCATGTCATTTGACAGAGTTAGCTTCACCATTCTGATTTCATAATATTCATAGCCATAGTTCATTTCACTTCCTGATTGCAACAGCAATGATACAGCAGTGGGGTGGAAACTATTTTATTTCACATGTCTCAAGCTGTAGGTTAGTGCTGTGGGTTAATAAATGTTAGCCTTAGTCACTGATGGCTACAAATGTGAAACAAATATAAAACAAGTGAGTCTAACTAAGGAAGCCTGATAATACTATTTTTCTTTCAAGTTTTCCCCCTGTTTACAGCTAAGGGTTGGTAATGCACCAAAAACAGAAATGAAGTTTAAAATGTATTGGGTGATTCCTGTGTATCGAAATGGGCATTTAACACTAAAACCAAAATGTCCTTGTTTCTTCATTCATGTAAGTGGTGAAAGTTAAGTTTCTGTGTTGGCTTAGCCTGTCAGGAATGATGTGGTGTGTAATAGCTAAAATTCTTGATAATGCAGAGTCATTTAAATATTTTTTCAATAGAGGGTCCTTAGAATATGGCCAGCCCAGTAATGACCTATTCCTATGCAATTTATCGTATACAGATTTCAAGGTGAACTATCTGACTAATTTTTTTAAAATCTTTAAATCACAACAAAGTCATGTAAGATTTGTTTGCTACTGCATAAGACCTCTACAGCAAGCTCAGTGCCTGTTAAAAATGGATACATGCCTTCTTTTTTGTACCACTCTTTTCTCCCAACAATGACTATTCTGTTTACATATTGTTTGTAACTGTGTTTAAAATGTCTGTGCACATATGTTTTAATATATGTATATATATCTATTTCTTTTTGCATTTTAGAGCTGTGATGGCCAGTCACCAAGCAGAAGTTCAGAGTTTGAAGCTAGATAATGATTCAGTTATAGAAGGAGTAAGTGACCAGGTACTGGTGGCAGTTGTGCTCAGTTTCACTTTCATTGCTGCTCTGGTATATACGCTTTTAAGGTGAGAATGTGTTGAGAGGAATTATTCACTTTTTCTAAAAATCCTAACTTTCTTGACAATTTCATGCATTGGTACATAAAAACTGTGATTTTGTGACAGTAAGGAAGTGGTTGTTTGATTGCTCACTATGTTAAACTAATTGCTTGGTATAGCTAAAATCAAAAGTGGAGTTTAACTCTTCCATATCTTCAGATAATCAAACTGAGTACTGTTCATCACTCATTAAGACTGAAAATTGTTAAATTCACAGTCTGTATGGCTGCTGTGTTGTATTTGGTTAAAAAGTATGGATTTGCCAACTACTCCAAGATTAAAATTGGATATATTCCTCCAATGTATGTTCTAGCTGAAGTCTCCTTCCAAGAAAACAAACAAACAACAACCCAAATCCAAATAAATTGACTGATTTTTTCTTCAAATGAGTATGCCGTACAACAGTGGACTGCAATATGCATTCCATACAGGAAAATGTTAAGTTCAGAATTCAGTAACTTTAATGATCAAGTCATCGAAGCTTATTTTTATTTCAGAGTTTTTCTATGCATCCTAACAAACATCTTAGCCTATGTGTTTAGGGAAAATGAGTCTGAGCTTCAGATTAGCTTATTTTATTTTATTTTATTTTATTTTACTTTATTTTATTTTATTGAGGTGTGTAAACTTCTGAACACAGAACAGTTTTCAAAACCAAGGGAACTCAGTTTTAGTGACACAGTGGCATCATGGAATTTGAAGAGGAAATGTCCACATGAGAAATATTGCTGAGGTAGAGTTACTTGAGAGCAAGCTACTAAATAAGGTATAGGTGGAAAAATTTGGTTGGACTGCATGGCAGTGCTGCTGTTCAGGACCAAGAGATCACAAAGGAATCTTAAGAAAGGCGATGATTTCACCTTGCCTTTTTTTTTGCCAAAGCTGTTTCAGTTACTCAGACTGCTTTAATAATGCCTCTTTTTTATCTGCTCCATTATGATTTCTCTACCCTTCATATTGACATTTTTGGCAGTTGTGACTTGAAATTTAAGTGTTTATTTTAAAAGTTAACACTTTATTTTTGAACTCTAGAAAGGCAAGTAAGAAATATTTTTTAAAAAGTGAGTGGAACAAGGGTCAGCAGTTGACAAGAGTAGCAGGAGTTCAGTCAGAATTAATTTCAGGGAGATGATGTGTCAATTATGAAGAGTTACTTAGGGAGGACGGTAAGGCTGGTTATGAAATGCCTCTGCAGTGTAATGAGGTAGGTAAAAAGTTTGACTGTGAATCCTCTTACATACCTTGATGGTTTATTTTCTGGAGGGGCAAACAAACTGAAAACACAAAGTTTCCAGACTTCCGAGGTCTGCATTGTATGATTTGTGACCAGTGACAGGACTTGAGGAAACACGTGAAGCTGAGTCAGTGGAAATTTAGGTTAAGATACCAGAAAAAAGTTTTTTTACCCAGAAGATGGTTGAGCAGGCTCCCAGGGGAGTCACAGCACCAACCTGATAGAGTTGAAGATGTGTTAGGACAATACTCTCAGGCATATGTGTCTTGAGGTGTCCATGTAGGACCAGGAGTTGAACTCAGTAATCCTGATGGGTCCCTTCCAACTCAGCATATTCTGTGACTGTGATTCTGACTGACGACTGAAAGTCTTACAGTATCCTCTTAGCTCCCTGCTCTGCCTTCTGGTACCTTTTGAAATTGTTTGTATTCAGCAGCACTCCTCATCTCTCTCCTTTGCATTGTTGCCATCAAAATCATAGTGTGCTAGAAAATCTGTACAGTACAAAAATTATAGTACTTTTATTTAGCACAGAAGGGGAAGTGAGGAAGAAAAAGAGTCTGTTCTTTTTCTTCTCTAGTTACCTTATTGCAGAGGTCTTTTTGTTGCTTATATGGTGTTCATTACCCTAGTTTTTTTCTTTGCCTTTCATGCTTCTATATCAACAGAACTGAAATACTTAAGTTGGGTAGGAACAAGTCACAGGTAAATATACAGGAAAGAAAGCTTACAAGGTGATGAGTAGTTGCAGGAGCTGAATCAAAAGGGAAATGAGCAGAAAGGAGTATGTGTTGCAGTAGATTTTAGGGGGCAGAAGTGGAATATGGAGAGAACTGTTAAGGGCTGTAATTGTTGTACTTGTTTCCAGGTGAAAGAACTCAATGAAGCGTCACATCAAGGCTTCATTCATGCGTCTGGTGGAGAAACTTACAAGCCATAATTAACATATCTAACAATTGCAGATATGTAGTTCAGGCACTATATGATACTTTTGTGAAGCCTATATGTTTTTGAGTTATAAATTTTGATAAAATGAAGCCAGATTTTTTTCAATCATCTTTAAACTGGTGAGTAGGTTGTCACATTACAAATGAGATTGTGAAAATTCAGTATATTCAGCAAATTAAAGGAAGCCTGATCCTTTAATTCCCTACAAGGGATTTGTCCTAGATGACTTAACTGCTCCATGTTTATGGATCTACAGGTTTTGATTTTTTAATCTAATTTTTCTATCCATCATATGGTTTGATTATAAGATCAAGTCACTATTTTCAGCAGAAGTGAGATCTTAGTCCTTAGAAATTAACAGTGTCCATCACTGCACAGTCCCCTTAAGTACTGTCCCTCTCTTTCCATGTGTGAGACTGCACACTGCATGAGTAGGCAGTCTTCTTCCTTCCAATAATAATAGTTTCGCGGGGTCCTCTGTGGTACATAATACAATCTTTCCACATCATGAGACCTTTTTCCTCAAGTTTTGGCATGCTAGCAGTCAGAAATGGGGAAATAAAAGGCCTTTCCATCTATCTTTATTTCTATCTAGCTTGTGTTTGATAATGCCTCTAATGACATGGCATCATATTGGTTTTCATTTATTTCAGTTATCTTCTTGCACTAATTGCATGACAGAAGTTATGAATTTGATATGTCTTGAGCTCTCTGCCTGTCCCTTCCTGAACATTATTACATGGTTTTCAGCTGCATCACCATCTTATGCATAAGTGACAGTACATGCTGTACCCCTGCAGCTCTCATGCTCTCATGATTTTGGCCTAGTGTGTTATACCAGGGTAAGATCATAAAAATGAACACTTTCAGCAGCAAATTTGCTACTGCTAATTTAGTTGTTTATGGAGAAATCAGAATAAATTGTCTTATAATTCATGCCTTCTGCTTGTGTGTGAATCAAATTGGACTTCAATATATATCAGACATTTTGGCACACTGAAGATGTGAAATACATTCATTTTGTAGCATCTAAACAGAAAAATACTTCTGTACATATAACATGTATGACAGACAACATTCACAAATCTGATTCATGGAGGCCAAAGGTGTGTAAGAAGGGTTTTAATATAGATTTCTATCATATAACTTTCATATGTCACCCACATTAGTATAAAATAAATTTTCTTTTTACCAATAGTCATGTAAATATTAGCATGAAAAATATGGAACTTGTCTATTTCGCTTTGAAAGAGAAAATAGAATGAGGCAGACATTAATATTTGAAAAAAGAAAGAGGCAGACAAAATGTTAAACATTTTAGCAATAATGCAATAAACATTTGAGCAATAATGCAATATTACGATTGCTCACATTAACTGAAGGAAAATATTGCAGAAGCTTCTAGAGCCATTGAGGAAATTATATAATATAGCTGCAATCAGAAGATGTCCTGAAAGTTCAGCCAGTCCAGGCCTCATCTCTGACAGAGGATCAGCTTACCTCAATATCCCTGGAAGAATTGCAACCTGTTTTTTGATTTAACTTTTAGTCAGGGATAGATCAAAATAGCCTGAGGTAATCTTGTCTGATTTTGTACATTATGTAGTTAGAAATGTGTTTCCACGAGCCTTAGATAACTGTGGGAAATAATTGCTCATATTTATAGAATGAAAGACTTATCCTGTCCCCTTTTCAATCCATGAACAGTCTTCTACATAAACTGACATTTCTTAAGTCTTTCTCTAATGTATAAAAAATGTGGGCAGTTGATCTTATTATCTTCTGAACTTTCTCCAGCCTCTCTATATGCTTCTATGCATTTAACCCAAAATGGAGAACAGAATGCAGCTGAGACCTCAGTGCGCCAAGTACAATGTATCATCGTTGAAATCCATATGAATTAATAAAGCATAAAAATTAATATGCTGTTGACTCATATTTATGGTAACTCAACACCTCTGATTGTTGTCAGCACATTTTTAATTTCAATTCTATCCCATTATGCTTTTGAATTTCAAAATTGTAATATATCCATCCTCCTTTCTTCAGTGTGGCCCTTCCCAATGATTCCTCTTGGCATATCTAACCTGTAGTTTGATTGCCTGTAGAATCCTTCTTATTTTAAAAAAAGTGATTTTAAAATAGTGTTTTCTTTTTATATCCAGTCTGCTGATAGTTACATAAATTCAATATTCTAAATGTAAGTCTTATGCAAATGTCATGTAGCAGATAAAATTGAAGAAATTAGGAGGTTTCAACTCTATGACACAGGCAGTGAGTGAAAAAATAGTAATTTATTGAGTAATTTGTTGAGTAGACCAACAAACAAGAAACTAGCAATGGAGACAAAAATGAAAAATATTTCTGCGTCTTTAATTGAAAAGCTTTAAAGCAACTTCATTTTTTGTAGGTTCAAGGCTTAATTTTTTCTCAGATTAAAATCTAGTTTTAACATGATTTAATGATTGGTTGTGGAGTCTCTGAAAATTCCTGCTGCTGTACAGCTTTAAGTATCCAAAGTAATTTTAGGATCCAGAATAAATTCCTGTTTCCTTAATTATTTGTGTACTTCCTTTAAAATCCTTTATAGCAGGACATAATGATTTTTTTTTTTGCCCTTTGTTCAAATTTCATATTTGTTTCAGTGAGTTATTTTTCAGTGTTGGATCACAGAGCTTTTTATTGCCTGTATTTCCTTTCACAGAAATGAACATCAGAACATACATCCAGAAAATCAAGAGCTAGTGCGAGCTCTTCGTCAGCAGCTTCAAACTGATCAGGTGCTGTACCAAGTGCTGGCGTCATTCAGCTCTCTGTTGTGGGATACTGCAGGCTTCTCTGAGGTTCTGGAAGAGAGTGATCTTGAAAGTTATGGGAGCTTACTTACTGTACAGAGGCATCCATGGAATCCATCAAATAATGGGATAATGTAGCCTTTTTTTAAGGGATGCCTTAAGTAATTAAAACTAAATTTTGGCTGGGTCTTTTTTCAAACAAGTTTTTGCCACAAGGTGGAGTATGTTAGGTTATGCTGTGTGTTTCCTGGAATGTTCCTGGGAACTTTAGGATAAAGGAAAGGAAGTCTGGAGTACAGTCCTGTCCAGCTGAGACAGGACAGGGTAGATGTTTAGACTGATAAGTAGCGTGTAGCATAACAATGGCACAGCAACAGGAGCCAGGCAACAAAGTGACAGAGAGGAACATTTTAGCAAAGCCTTTAGTCACAGGACAGAGAGCAGTGGTTTTAAACTGAAAGAAGCTAGATTGAGATAGGATGTAAGGAAGAAATTCCTTTCTGTGAGGGTGGTGAAGCACTGGGAACAGGCTGTCCAGAGGAGTTATGGATGCGCCATACCTGGAAATGTTCAAGGCAGGGTTGGATGGGGCTCTGAGCAGCCTGATCTATTGGAAGGTGTCCTTACCTATGGCAGAACAGTTGGAACTTCGTGATCTTTAAAGGTCCTTCCAGCTCAGACAATTCAATGATTCTATGACTGCATGCAGTTTGAACAGGTAGAGTCTAAACCATACTTTCAGAGAATATTGAAAACAGTCTTTCATCATGATACTTCTTGAAATAATGACAGTGCATTTTTATGTGGAAGACAAATATGTCAAAATGGGGAGAAAAACTGATTCATGACAGTGACATACACAAGCTGATATCTACATTTGGGCTGGAAACACTAAATGCTACTACTGGTGAGCAACACAGTTCAGTCACCTGGCTCTGGACAGAATTGCTCAGGATAATGAAGTAACAATATAGATCTGAGTTTGTTATTCATGCTCCAGCATGTCTAACCCGACTTAGTGTGAAGGACCAAGGAGGTTCTTTCTTTGTGGTCTTTAACTGGTTTGAAGCACACGCTTATTTAACAGATGAAGGGAAAATAATGGTCCTGTCACAAGAACTTGTTTATTGAATCAATGCATTTAAGTATGTTTCATTTTTACATTTAAATATATTTCTCATTTCACATAATTTTGCATTTGACAGTTTGACTTATAGGGAATGAATGCCAATTTATTATTATTTTTTAGAACTCAGTAGACTTATATAAAATAGTATCTCTAACACTTGGTATTTTCCTGCTCTTCCAGCAGGATGCTTCTGCTGGTGATCGGCATCGCTTCTATACAGATATGTCGTGTCCAGTCTGTTTGCAACAGGCTACATTTCCTATAGAAACAAACTGTGGACATCTCTTCTGTGGTAAGCAAGAAAAGCTCCTAGCTCCAAAGTTGAAACCAGAACAGAAATACAAACTTTTGGCACTAGCTCAGGCATCCTAATTCAAAGCTTTGTTTGCTTTTAATTATTTATCATTGCATCTGCAAAACAAATAATTTTTTATAAATAGTCAAGAAAATACATTTAGGAATAAACAGTCACTTTAAGAATGTGCTACATTGTTTTCTATGCTATCAGGAATGAAACTGTTTAATTTTAAAATGTCAAAGAGTACAATTTGTTTCCAGTTTAGTAAAAAACTGAAGAGGTTGAAGAACACTGGGGAATGTACCATTAAAAAAAAAAAACTGTTTTAGAAAGAATAAAATATTCTTTATTTCACAAAATGTTTTTTCTTGGAAGTTCTGCAGAATTATAAGTAAGTGCACCATTGATTAAAGTGTTTGGTTTTGTGGTTTTTTGAAGCTATATTTATATACTGACACCCTATGTATCATTTTACTTCTTCTCCTTCAGGTTCATTGTAGAATTCTTCCACTGCATTCATCTAGTTTTTTGAAGTGTATAGTGTATACCATGCCCAGTTGTTTTAATGAAAAAACAAGCAAGTTTGGAAAATAGATAAAATACTTAAATTTTTATATTTGTCTTCATCTTTTGAAATGGATGATGATAAAGCCAAGTTTTTAGGTTAAATTTTACATCTCCTGACATTTTTGTGACTTCTACATTTTAAACTGCTAAAAATTTTTATTATTTGCTTCTTCACTTAATGATTAAAAATTTGTTGTGTTTCCAGGAAATAATGCCTTAAAGTTCCTGATTCAGTTGAACCCATTCAGGATTTTTCTCATTAATAGCATTGAATTTGAAGATGTCAGTTCTTGGTATCTTCAGTGAACACTGTACACAAAATTACATCAGAAACTGTACATTTAACCTAACTGCTTATGTACACTTTTTGTTGTTTCCCTTGCCATGTAAGTATTATTTCAGGTGATGCATTTTTCATCTCAGGAGTTTAAATGAGTGTGTACCTTACCTTCACCAGGTTCCTGCATTATTGCCTACTGGAGGTATGGCTCATGGCTGGGTGCCATCCGCTGTCCGATCTGCAGACAGACGGTAATATTTTAAACCATCATTGACTTGTCAATTTGGCTGTCTAGGATAACCTGCCACAAGGCACTTACATGTGTGCTGCAATAGTGAGTCTGGTAGATAAAGAAGTCTGAGAAACTGAAAAATACAGCAGGATATGTGAGACAGGAATGGTGGACATTCAGTTTTTCCGAACTTCTTGCTTTGACTAATGGCTCAAAAATTCAGATTGTTCTACAACTCAAACATAAGTGAACTGCTGTAAAGAGTGCATGAAAACAGAAAATTGTGAGATTTTAACTATGATCCTTTCATGCTTTCTGTTCGGGATGTTATTAACTTCTTTTACCAGAATTTGCATCTGAAAGGCTTGGCTGTTGTGGTAGACTACTAGTAGCAGCACACTTCTGGTTCCTGAGAAATACCCTCTGCCTTTCCTCTGTCCCTGCTAAAAAACCTATCCATGTCAATTTCTTATTTTGGTCTTATTTTTAACTTGTATGTATTATTAATTTAATCCTTGTAGAGCAAGCATTAACTTACATCCTACACAAGTTACTTACATTGTCAGTTTGAAATATGTTCCTGCAATTTATTAAGGCTTAAGATCTCTTAGTCTGATAGTGTATGTTTTAACAAAAGTACATCTTTATTTTAACAGTGCACAAACTACAGAGCTAGTTATTTCTAATGACTTATGTAACTCATGCCCTTGCCCCTCCATTATATCCTGTTTTGATTGTGTGTATCAGCAGGACAAACAACTGTAAGAAGACAGTTGAATGAAAGAAAAATAGGTATGACTGGAAGAAGAATGAGTAGGTTTTGAGTGTAGCCAGTGAGGAAAAAGACACAAATAATAAGTGAGGAAGGTGGAAAAGGGGAAAATAAGTGATTTTCTTTATTGTCTTTCCTTATATATATTTTCACTTACGTTCCTCTGAGTAACAGGTATATTAGGTGGCACTGTTTGCATGGTTATGTATTCGTTGTAACCCTGGTTTATAAATGGTTAAGGGAAAGATGTATACATGAACATGAGTCATACAACAGGTTTGTGGCAGGACCAGAAGTTGAATGTAGATCTGCTCGTGCTCTTGTTTCTGAATGTGACTGCCACAGATTTATATTTAGTGACCAGGTACAGAGGAAGCTTCTGAAGACTATAATAATTTGAAGTACTATGCATTCCCTGTTTCCCATGATAATCTGCATTTTTTACCTGTACATTGCTTCCAAATAGAAGTCTCAAGTTTTCAGCAACTCCTATGCAGAAAGATAACGTACATAAGGTCATATTCACATATATTCATATTTCTCTATGTTTGCATGAAAGTTAACCCAAGAACAGAAAAAAATTCTCTGTCCCTACAAAATTGTTGAAGGTTAATATCTTTTTCTTAATTCATCTTGGTATGAAGATCCATATGCAAAACTATGAGCTTTGCTGCATTGTTTGTTGTCATGCAAGACAATCCTAAATATAGGAAAAAAAAAGGCCTCATTGATTGCCTTATTCTGTTTTCAATTTAGAAAAGAAAATTTGATTAATTTGTTAAATTAGCTTTGTTCTCCAAATAATTTGTTCCACTTATGAAACATAAAGCACTTAGGTGTTTAGGAAGCCTCTCTTAAAAGGAAGGTTATTTTGTGCTTTTTTTTTTAACAATCTCTTCAAAAATTAATATTCTGTAAGGAGCTGTAAGCAATTAATTAGTTAAAATTTAATAGCAGCATCCATGCTAATAATTTTCAGTTTATTCTCCTATTAACTGTTCAATTAAACCAAATTTTTTTCTATACAGTTGACTAAAGATGACTGTTTTACAGTTGCATGTGTGGCATAATCTCCCTGCTGTGCCTAGGTAACACTATTCTTACCACTCTTTGGTGAAGATCAGCAGGGTGCAGCCCAAGTGTTTCAAGATGTTAATGATTACAATAGAAGATTTTCAGGACAGCCCAGATCGGTAAGTTTTGGGTAAATTTAGGGGGAAGTCAGTGGTCTCATGAGAGTTTGAGAGCATTTTTTTTGTAATTTTGTTTTTTCCACCTTCTTTTTTTTTCTTTTCCTGGAATATGGATTGTCTCTTCCTGATGCTTAGGGCCTAGGCAACTTTTCTTTAGGAAATTCATGTTGAAATGGTTAGGCCAAACCCAAAATTATATATTTGTCATTTATGAAAATGCATGGAAACTTACTTTTTTCTTGTAAGTGAGAATCTAATAAGTCTTGAGTTTTCTCAAGTGTTCATGTGTTAAGTTGGTTTTTAGATATGAGTCATTATTTTGAAAGGATCAATAATTAGTCAGTAAAAATACTTAATGAAATAAATGACATGCAAGGAAGAATATTCACTTCATTGGTCTTTTTACACTGATTAGAAGAATATGAAGTTCTGCTCTGTGCCTTTCTCCTCAGACAGCTGTACGCTGTCTTGATTTTTTAGTTTCTTCCCTAGGTTGTATTACAGTATTTTTTCTCCTCTCTGAGTGAAGAAAAAAAATAACTTTTCTTCTGTATATAGCTAAGAGGGGTGTCAAAGTTCTACAAATGTTAGAAAGTCAGCCTTGTGAGCCCACCTCCTATGTATGTGTCCTGTTTCACAAGGTGAAATGCACACACATGCGTGCTAGTAACCTCCCTGCTTGTCTTCATTTGTAATGGGATTTGGATACAGCAAGAAGACATTCGCAAGAAAAATGTACAGTACAAAGAGACAGAAGAGGGAGGAGTATTTTTCTAAACCACAAAATGTATGGGTTTTGTCCAGAAGAGGTTAAAACTGCCTCTCAGGCTCCATTAGACCTCTCTGCGAGCTGCGTCTAGTCCCCAGTAACCTGTCTGAGGTCATGCCAGAAATCTGCACTAAAGCCCTAATTGGACTAGATAAATTGTCTTTGATTTATATACAGTGTTACCACATACAAAATTTCTTTCTCAAAAACTTTTTCAGCTATGGCAATAAGTCTTTTTAATGGAGTTTAACAGCTTTATGTAGAAACTGTGTACCATAGAAGGGAACCAGTATAAAAAAAAGTTTTAAAGTTCACCCCTCCCTGCTTGTCACAACAAAACCCTGAATATTTTCTATTGAGCAGTCTCTTGCTAAGCTGGCAGAATCATAGTAGCAAAATGGAAAGAAGCCAGGAATGGATTAGTTTAAAGGTTCTTCAGTTTACTTTGAAGCTTCATCCATCCTTTGGAAATTTGTGTGAATCACTGGTTATACACCAGGAGAGGGGGTATTGTGTTTCTGAAAAACTGTAACCTATTCTATTTTACCTATTAGGTTTTTTTCTTGCAGTCCTGGTTTGTCTTGCATTCTGATCAATACTTCACTCCAGTTAATCTATTTGCTGTTTTTCACTTTCCCAGTCATTTGTTTTCCTCTAGTATTCATTGCTTTTCCTTCATGATAGATGCCAGTAAATTTTCCTCAAGATGTATATTAAGTGTATTCTTTTCATTGTAGAGTAGCACAGTTTAACTGTTTTGTTTTAATTCCTATAAACTAGCAGAACCTAAGATGTAATTAATGTAGTAGTAGAAACTTCAGTTTATCATGGATGAGTTGCTAATGCAAAATACTAACTTTTAGATTCTTTCTTTATAGATTATGGAAAGAATTATGGATCTCCCCACTTTATTGCGACATGCTTTCAGGGAGATGTTTTCTGTAGGGGGTCTCTTCTGGATGTTTCGCATCAGGATATTCCTCTGCTTGATTGGAGCCTTGCTGTACCTGGCTTCACCTCTGGATTTTCTTCCTGAAGCTCTGTTTGGAATTCTGGGGTTCTTGGATGATTTCTTTGTCATTTTTCTGCTGCTGATATATATCTCTATCATGTACAGAGAAGTGGTAACACAGCGTCTAAATAGATGAAATGGACAAAAGTGACCTAAAAGCAGAGTCAGTTGTGGAATGTTTTAAAAAGAAAACTATAACGTAAGTATGATATAGCAAGGTGCCTGTGTATGAGTAGTAACAATTTCTTAGCTAGTTATGTTATACAAACTTAAAAGGTTAGTATATGGTGATGCTTAACTGGAATCTTTAATTTGTGCATTACATATGCTTCATAAGGATGAGGTTAGTTTTATAATGTTGTAATAAACCACCTTCATCCACTTCCACCTGAAGAACAACTGTGTGTAATGAAAGCAGGAAACACTTTCTTTGGTGTGTTGTGGTTTGTGAAAAAGGAGTTTGTAGCAAAGTGCTTCAAACAATAAGCCCTTTGTGTAATCTAGATATGTAAGAAAATTCAGAAATTCTTCACAGTACAGTTATCATGGTTAAATTGTTTGATGTCTCCCTGTTGTGGACTAGAGTTTTTTGAAATAAAAATTGCTTTTTTTGTCTCTGTGGAAGAAGAAACCCAAGGACTGCATTACAATTATCACCCTGCAGTTTGCTGTTGTCCACGTGCTTCAGAAAAATAAGGATAATACCTTGGTATTGCTTGAACTGCACTATGTACAGTTGCATGCAATTTGTACCATTTTATTTTTATATTTGGGAATATATACACAGTATCTGCTCTACATTGAGAAACCAGTATTATGCATGTCTCACTCGTTAGTGCTCTATTTTTTTAAGTGAGAGCATGGTTTTTCTCTTCAAACTTTTTTATTTGGTAAGTATATATCTTAGAAGCAGAGATTTTGTGCTGCTTTGGGTCAATGCAATATGTCTGAAATGCAACTTCGCATTTCTGTATATGCATTAAAACATTCAGTTGGAGAGGAAACTCAAATTCCAAGCAGCAATTGAAAAAAAGAAATCAGAACTGGATGTTTACAGTACATGTGCATGTACTTGTATGTGTACAGTGTAGATGTTTACCCAAGTGTACATTCTGCAATATATGTGTACTAAACAACATAGATATTGGGATGATTTTCAGTTGGAGTTTTCTTGTTTGGTTGGTTGTTTGATTTGGATGTTAATAGAAGAGGTTCTGAATTACCTTGAAAAATAGTCTGTGATAAAGGACCATAAAAAAAATCTTGACACTGTTTTCAAAAATACCAGGGTATCCTTAAAGCTGATTTTTTTTCTTCATGTTGAATTTGAGCATAGGCTATCATAGCTATACAAGTAATTTCAAAATGCTTTCATTTTGAGCAACGATTGCGACTATAAAGGTCCAGGATATGACAGATCATTGTATTTTTTAGCTACAGGAATGATAATTGCAATTTAACTTCCTGAGTACTTGAAAGACAGTGAATTAATAGGTGATTCTTTGTGTGTTTACATATATAAGTGAGACTTAAAATGAAAGGGACCTTTTCACCACTTCTGTGTTTTCCCCTCGCAGGTGTCTTTCCACAGCTTCTAGCACTTAGGCATGTGCAGGAAGATGATAGAGCTGAAACCTCAGGTGTCAGTCACTGAGGGCGCAGATTGTCCTCCAGTGTCAGTGTTCTAAATGACATTCATTTAAAACTAAATTCACCGATTCTTCATTTGAAAAGTTAGTTTTGGAAATCCAAGGACATTTTACAAATGAACTGGAAAGCTAAACTCTTCTTTGTTGCTGTTTGTTAGAGATGGGCAAGAAGAGAAAAGGGAAGTGAAGCAAGGTTTGGAGGGAAAGAGTGAGAGAGAAAATTACATTTTTGGAAGCAAATGCTAGCTAACTTTTCTTGAGCATCTTAGCTGAGCTTTTCACCTTGTGTTGGCATTGGTATGTATGGTGATGTTTAGTGGCTACCTCAGTTAAAACTCTTTAAGGTGTTATTGAGTAAGATATTCATAAGCTGTTAAGTGCATTTACAAAGCAAGATGGTAGTTTAGGATATTACCTAAGACAGGATTTCACAGTTTTGCTGTAAGTATTGTTTTTGGTTTTGGGGTTTTCTTTCTCAAGAAATCTAGCTGAAAAAAAAAACCCAAAAAATCTTTTTTGATTGAGTAAATTTAACACCCTCTTTTCTTCTGGAGTTTAAGTTGTATGTCTGCTTAGAGAAGAGTGTGAACTGCTCTTGTAGAGAAATTGGAGTTTGTTCATGGAATTTGTTGATCTAGTACTTCATCCATACTTTTACCCTATGATTATAAATTTCCCATGACTCTCTAAATCTAGAGTGGATATAGATGCACATGAAGCTGCTTACTGTTTGGTTTTCTTTGAATTTCCCAAATCCATGCACTACTGTGAAGTTCATGTGGAAATTCCCTATCCCATCTAAGGGGATCCTGTATATCTGAAATCATACACAAACCACATCTGAAAAACTATATGAAGTTTCCCCATGTTCTTTTTCTTCAGTACAGAAGGGTTTCACTCAGAGGCTTCTGCTTACTTTTGAGTATTGAGTAACATTGTAATCTTAAATTCAGCACATTAAATGCTTGACAGAATTAGAACTGTTCTTTTCAGCAATATGCGTGCTTGCCTGTGGATATTCTTTTTGGGTCCTGCAAGCCAATGATAAACAGTATTATGACTTGTTCAGGCCTTTTTGTGTAATGCAAAGATGCATCTGTCCTGCAATGTCTGGCCGCTGCTCCTTTCCACAAATCTGAAATAGCTATAAGTTAACTATCTTGGGCACTTATCTTGAGCTTAACTTAAGCTCTAGAACTCCCAAGAAGCTGGAGATTAAAATATGAGCATGTTGTATTCCTGAACTGTGTGCTGCCAAGTTGTTCTGGCAGCAGTGTGAAAGGTAAGGGTTAGGGCTGAACACTGGCTTCAGAATGTGAAGGAAATATGTGATGCTGTGTGCAGAGTGACTGCAAACATCGCTGTGGTTTTGTCTCCTGAGATGGGGCAGGCATGTCAGGAGCGGGGGAAAATTTAAAAAAGGAAAACTATAGCAGGAAGAATGTATGGGGATAAAACACAGTTCTAAAAGATCACATGGGCACCAAAAGGTATGTGAAAGATTTGATTGTTCTAGCAATATTAACAAAGAGGAAAACAAAAATTATACTTAATAGCTCTTACAAAATAACTTGTAGCATCTTGAGGCCTAATGATCATCGCTGTATAGAGCGATCCATTTCTGTGCTATTTGTGTGCCACACCATTGATGTCTGTGAGGATCAGGCACAACAGTGTGGTTTGGGGATACAATTTTGCCGTAAGTTTCATAGAACTGTAGCAGTATGTTACACTAGATTTTTAAGACAAAAGAATTTAAAACTACTTATTGTTACTTTTAGTGATAATAAATTGCTGTTAAAGAGATTCTCTTGAATTATTTTATTTTATTGACTATCTGGTTCCCCTTTTTCCACTTCCATGCATTAAAGTTGTACGTGTGGCGTCCCACCCTTGAGGGAAAGGGAGTACTCAAGATTGGTGGGTACCCGTGGTCAAAAGGAATGACAAAAGTCAGAGGGTCCACAAAAACTCACAAAGTTCTATTAGTAAATTACATACTTGGCATGGAAATTGGTATAAGTTAGGACCTTATCTCCTCTGTGACAGTGGGTTTTTAAGAGAGGGGTAAGGTGAAAGGAGAGAGACAAAGACAGAAATTAATTAAAGAGGGGAAGAGAGAAAAAAGGAGAGAGGGAAAGAGAGATCACCAGTCCTAGCTTCAGCATCGATCCAGCTGGGGTGTCCTGGGAATGTCCACACACATGCGCTGGGTTGGAATACCTTTTATAAATAAATCTCCCCATCTTGGAGATAAGTTTCTCACTTTCTATGCAAATTAGTAATCCTGTGCAGTCCATTCCTCTAGACTTTTCTGGAAATGGGTTGGGGTTCTTTGGTGGTTTCAATCCCCTCTTAAAGTCCATGCCCAGTTCTCAGCCTCATCCCTGCACTTGGGCTGTGTTGCACTCATCTCCAGGAGCCAGAACAAGGACATTTGTCCCAGGAATGTGCTGCCCTACCTCCTTATAGCCTCTTCTCCAGTCACATCCTCTTTTTTCTCAGTGTATTATTACCAACAATTCTTGGCTGCTATCACCAACAATTCATAGTTGGCTCCATCTGACTCTCGGTTTTTAAGACATACACATTAGTCCTCTTGTCTCTTAGGATTCTACAGGCATTAATTTTTCTGCAGCTGTGATCTATTTTTGTCATGGTGTCTGTGGTCAGGTTGTTTAGAGATAACTCAGGGGGTTTTGCCTTTATGATTGCCATAATAAAGATTACAAAATTTCTAATTCATAACATTTTGGGACTAATTTCTTTAGTCCCAAAAGCGTATTGTATGTCAGATGACCTTCCCTAGCAGTCCAACCCATTCCATCAGATCCATGAGTGCTAAGGTTTCAGGCTGATAAACCAGTACAGATGATCAGTTAGCACCTTCACATAACAATCCTCAAGCAAACAAAGCATAAAGCCAGGTGTATGAGAATGTAAGGAAACAGAAAATGGTCTCTGTAGGTTTACAGGAAGGATGAAGATTGGGCTTGAAAAAACTAGATGTGCCTTCTCTGTGCTGCAGTCCTGAGCTTTTCTTAATTCATGTCATGAGATGCAAAAGCATTAAGGGGTGGGCTGGAAGAGATATTCAGCGGTAAGGTGTGAACTGTTGCCGTTATAAGCAAGTGATTCATCAAAATTTGTTTTGTGATCTTCATTTTGGTGCTTACAGAGAACAGTAAGAAAGTAGGAGGGGAATGAACAAAACAGCCAAATCCTGCAAGGAAAAGAGAAATGAAACTGGAGCAGCTTCAGGTCGTGTTGGTCGGATGCTGAAGACCATAGATGGGGTGAGAACTTAAACTGTCATAAGCTAGCAAACTGATGAGGCATATTTTGGGTCAACCTGCATTAAACTGATTACCATGACCCTCCCTAGAGCCCACACATAACAGCAACCACATCAGACAGCACCAAGTCCTGGCAACTAGATGGTGAAGAAGGCAGGAAGACAAAAACGTGACCTTCTGCTCTGGAGAGTGAGGACACATCCCATGGAATGATGGGAAGCCTATCCCTGAAAAAGTTGGTTTACTAGGTAGTACTTGACTGCCCTGTTAAAGTGTGGATTATTTTCAGGTTTTGCTTTATCCCCATCTTGGTAAAAAAAGAAATGAATTTTCAGAATGAAGGCATCAGGAAGACATGATCCATTCTACTAAGAAATGTCTAACAAATCATAGCTGGGAAGTCCAGTGCCAAGTTGGGCCAAGTCTTTTGTTAGTCTTTTGTTGTAGCCTGCTTTGGTACACGGTTCCAGTGTTTACAGAAAAATGTGTAATTGCATAATTGGTAAGATGCTGTTAAATCAGGTTGAATATTTGATGAGTATATGCTACACTTGTCCTGACACCCTGACTCCCATGTGCTTGCAAAAGCTCGGCTTGAAAGTTTCTCAGCCAAGGCTGCCAAAGGACATGGATTTTTTAGGAGGTCTGTTGTACTGTTGCAGTTTTGGGTATATTTTCTGCTTCTAGCTGTCAGCCAAACAGAAAACTGCCTGTTAGTCACCCATACTGGAAGCTACATGGGCATTTGTTCCATGGAGACAGAGCAGTAAGTCTTACTGTCCCTATTTCTTTGAGATGGTGCGTCCTACTAGGTTGCCTTCTTTCCTGTTGTGTGTGCTGTGTTTTGAAACTGAGGAAGAAGCTGCTGAATTTCAGTCTATGATTTACTCAACTTAGGATCTATAGAGGATTAGAGCAGCCATAGGTCTTGAGGTTCTGCTCCCATATGGACAGCACATCATTAGACACTGTGCTAAGTAGAGCTGCTTCCTGTAAGGTGAGAATTCTTTTCATTCGGGGCATGAGAAGCCTATCCAAATAATAAATAATTAATACTGCAAAAACAAGGAAAAAGAGCAGGAGTTTAGAGCTGAATTTCATATTCTACAGCTTGGATGCCTCTTGGTGTGCCCTGCTCTGTACCACGCTGCCTTACCTGTTTGTCGCCTCAGCATCCACATAAAAACTTGTCATAGGTACATTTTGTTTGATATAAGGAATCTCAGATCTTCCATTGCGACCTTCATGTCTAATGTTAGGGCTGCTGTATTGAAAAGGGTGTCCAGGGTTGGGGGGTCCTCCTAAAGTAAAGGGTCCTCCTAAAGTAAATTTCTTACCATGTAATTTACTCTCATTGGTACTGTATGGCCTCATATGAGGACATCTGAATATCCTGTTTCTCTTTGTTTATGCTAATGCTAGATGGCAGGTGCAAGAATTATGACAAGACTGTAAAATAAATCCAGAAATAAAGGTTGAAGAAACTGGTATTTTGACTACTGAATAAATAGGCTGAGGAAGATATGAGTCTTTATTTATATTAAAACAGGATAGTATTTCCTGTATTAGGGAGAACTGGAGAAATGCATGTGGCTGGAGTTTGATAGCAAATGAGACTTGGACTAGAACAAATTTGCCAAAGTGAATGGGGAGGGGATTTTGTGTTGTGAACCTCTCCTGGGATGCCTCTGAAGGTAGGCCAACACCTGTAGGGACTGTTTATTGCGCAGCTAGTCCTGCCTGGGGAAAGGTCAGGACAATAAAAAGGTGGCTGCTTTCAAGGCAGCTCATATGGGTCTTAATAGGTGTGAGACCAAAGAAGCTTGATCTGACCAAGACTTTATTGTTCATGGTGTTTCTGACACATATTACCTGTATGCATCAGGTGGCAGACCTGACCAGCTTACCTTTCCCCAGGAATTTTGCTAAATAGCAGTGTTTAAAATCTGTGGCATAACAATATGGCTACACCTTATTTCAGGACACCTTAAAGATTATTTACTATAATATTCCATTTTATTGGCAAAACTCCTTGTTTGTCCGATATTTTCCAAGTAAAGACTGTTTCTCGTGATTAACAGATGATTAATTGGTGGGAGAGAAGGAGAGGGGAAAGGAACATAATTGATAATATTGAGTCCATTGCTCACTGCTGGCAGGCAGCTACTGGGGGACCATGGGTGTATCAGGTGTTAGTAATAGCTTGGCTAGAATATATTTCATGGAAAGCTGTTCAGCTTCACACTAGCATATGCTGTGCTTCACAGTCAAGGATTGTTGTCTAGCCTTCCCCCTTTTGCCTTTTTTCTGGAAACTCATTTCTTTTTTTACCAAGATGGGGATAAAGCAAAACCTGAAAATAATCCACACTTTAACAGGGCAGTCAAGTACTACCTAGTAAACCAACTTTTTCAGGGATAGGCTTCCCATCATTCCATGGGATGTGTCCTCACTCTCCAGAGCAGAAGGTCACGTTTTTGTCTTCCTGCCTTCTTCACCATCTAGTTGCCAGGACTTGGTGCTGTCTGATGTGGTTGCTGTTATGTGTGGGCTCTAGGGAGGGTCATGGTAATCAGTTTAATGCAGGTTGACCCAAAATATGCCTCATCAGTTTGCTAGCTTATGACAGTTTAAGTTCTCACCCCATCTATGGTCTTCAGCATCCGACCAACACGACCTGAAGCTGCTCCAGTTTCATTTCTCTTTTCCTTGCAGGATTTGGCTGTTTTGTTCATTCCCCTCCTACTTTCTTACTGTTCTCTGTAAGCACCAAAATGAAGATCACAAAACAAATTTTGATGAATCACTTGCTTATAACGGCAACAGTTCACACCTTACCGCTGAATATCTCTTCCAGCCCACCCCTTAATGCTTTTGCATCTCACAGGCCATGCATCAGGAAGGAAGCTACATGTGTCTGTTGTTAAAGGGCTAAACTCCTCATGCAGCAACCTGAAGAAGACAGTTTAGTGCAGCTCTCTGGTTCTGCCCGCTGTCCACATGAGCAGCTAGGCATTCTGGGTCTGGTGCCTTTTCCAAAAAAGGGTGCAGGATCTGAAGGCCAGCAGACTTTTTCCTTACACCTATAACTTCCATGGTTTGGTAGCTGTGAGTGGAGAGTGAAGCACCAGAAGAAAGAAGGCATCACACAGACCTCCTATTTAAGCAGGCTGTGTTTGCGCCTGGGAGGCTGCAGAAGAGCCCACATACTAAGGAGTTGTTGCATTCAGTTTCAGTCACATCTGGAGAGACTGGTTTTCTCTGTCATAGAGGTTGTCAGGTACAAGTCTTTTCTTGATGAAAAACAAAGCATTGCTTTGAAAATAATCTCTGTGGTGTTAACCTTTATTTACATACAGGTATTTTGAGCCCCTGGGGTTCTTGTTCTCATGGTTTCTTTCACAGCTCCCACAAATAAAGATTGCCTCAATATGAAAAGAAGAAGAGAAAACTCAGTAATCATATTGCAACTGCAAGAACCCTAGGAAAGAAACCAACCATGTAAGACAC